GGGCCTGGCGGCCGCGGCGCTCAGCAGCACCCCCGGGGCCCCCCAGGCCAACCCCGCGCTCACCCTGGCCCTGCTCTGCACCCGCAAGCTGGGTGCGGGGCGCGCGGCCGTGCTGCTGCTGGCGCAGTGCTGCGGGGCTCTGCTGGCGGCGGCCGCCGCGCGCCTCGCGCTGCCGGAGGGCACCGGGCTCGTGCCCAGGGTGAGTGCCCCTGCGCCGTCCTTGTGCCCAGCCCTGCCCTCGGCCCTGTCCCCATTCCAGTTCTTGTCCCCATCTTTGTCCCTATTCCCATCCCCACCCTTATCCCTGTGCCCATCCTTGTCTCTTTTCCCATCCCCATCCCATGTCCCTGTCCCCACCCCACCCCACCCCCATCTCACCCCATCCCATCCCCATCCCCATCCCCATCCCAACCACATCCCAATCCCCCTCCCCATCCCATCCCCATCCCCATCCCCATCCCAACCACATCCCAATCCCCATCCCATCCCCATCCCCACCCCATCCCACCCCATCCCCATCCCCATCCCATCCATCCCCACCCCCATCCCATCCCCATCCCCCATCCCCATCCCATCCCCACCCCATCCCCATCCCACCCCATCCCACCCCATCCGCATCCCCATCCCCACCCCATCCCCATCCCATCCCCATCCCCACCCCATCCCACCCCATCCAATCCCACCCCATCCCCATCCCCATCCATCCCACCCCATCCCACCCCATCCCATCCAACCCATCCCATCCCATCTATCCCATCCCATCCCATCCATCCCACCCCATCCCACCCCATCCCATCCAACCCATCCCATCCCATCTATCCCATCCCCATCCCATCCCATCCCCATCCCCATCCCATCCCCATCCCGTCTCCACCCCATCCCATCCCCACCCCATCCCATCCCATCCCCATCCCACCCCATCCCACCCCAGCTCCAGCCGCTCTCCCCGGCTGTACCCGCAGGTGAGCGCTCAGGGCACGGCAGGACAGGCCCTGGCCTGGGAGACCTTGGCCACCATCCCATTGGCTTTGGCCACCTTCGCCTCCTCCTCCCGGGGCCCCCCCCATGGCGGGGGGGGCCTGGTCCTGGGCAGCGCCGTGGCCGCCGGTGCCTTGGCTGCGGTGAGGACCCCCCCGGCCCCCCCATCCAACGCGGGTGCTGGTGCCCCCCCCCCCTCCTGACCCCCCCCATCCCACAGGGACCGGTCTCGGGGGGCAGCTTGAACCCCGCGCGCTCACTGGGGCCGGCGCTTGTCACCGGGGTCTGGGACGATCATTGGGTGAGTTTGGGGTGTGCCCCCCCCCCGAGCCCCATGTGGGGACCCTCCCCGTGTCCATTCGCACCCCCTTGTCCCAGCTGCAGCCCCAGTTCGGGTCCTCCGGGTCCCTCCATCCCAGGGTGGGTCCCCCCAATCCTTTGGGAAGGGCTTCCCTGGTCCCCCCATCCCAAACGTGTGAGCCCCCCATGGAGCAGGTTCCTTCAATCCATCCCCTCCCTGTCCCCGTCCCTTTCCCCATCCCTGTCCTCATCCTCATCCCTTTCCCCCTCCTTGTCCTCATCCCTGTCCTCATCTCCATCCTCATCCCTGTCCCCATCCTTATCCCCCTCCCCATCCTCATCCCTGTCCCCCTCCTTATCCTCATCCCTGTCCCCCTCCTTATCCTTGTCCCGTCCCCATCCTCATCCCTGTCCCCCTCCTTGTCCTCATCCTTATCCCGTTCCCCATCCGCATCCCTGTCCCCATCCTTGTCCCCTCCCCATCCTTGTCCCGTCCCCATCCTCATCCCTGTCCCCCTCCTTGTCCTCATCCTTATCCCCCTCCCCATCCTCATCCCTGTCCCCATCCCAATCCAGTTCCCACCCCTATCCCTGTGGGTCCCTGTGCCCCCATCCCTTGCTCAGTACCCAGCAGCCCCCAACCCCACATCCCCTTATCCCTGGGGCACCCAACCCCTCATGTGCATCCCCCCCCTGCCCCATGTGTCCCCCCCCGACCCCTGTGTCCCCCCCCCCAGGTGTACTGGCTGGGGCCGGTGCTGGGCTCGCTGCTGGCCGGGCTCTGCCACGAATTCCTCCTGGCTCCCGGCGCTTCCCGGGACAAGCTCCGCTCCTGCCTGGCCTGCAGGGACGTGGCTCTGGTCGAGGCCACCAGCCCGGCCCCCTCCTCACCCCCCGCCCGCAGCCCCACAGCCTGAGCCCCCCATAGGAGTCGGGGCTCCTGGATCCCCTTTCCCCCGTTATTAAAGCTGGGGTTAGGTCCGACTGTTGCTATGGGGGGTGTGTGGGGTGTGTGTGTCTCAATGGGGCTGCAAGACCCCGATGCCCCCCCTCCCTTCCCATGCGGGTGCCCCCTCCCTGCGGCCCCATTGTTGGGGGGGGGGGGGGGCCGGGACCCCCCATCGCTGTCCCGTGCCGGGCGCTGAGCGCAGCAAAGCGCTTTGTGGCATCCTCTGCAGCCCCGGCAGATTCCGACGGGCGCCAATGGCCGCGCCGGGCTCTAATCCCCCCCCCGGGGGCCCGCTAAGCCGGGCTCAATCATCGCTCCCGCACACAACAGCGCCGGCCCCCCCCCCCCAAGTGTGGGGCAGGGGGAGGCTGCTCCCTGTATTGTGCTCCCACCCATCTATGGGGCAGCGTCGTGTGTTCCCCCCCATAGCAGCCCCATGGATGGACGGGGGGGGGGGGGGGTCCCCGCTATTGGGGGCGGGGGGGGATGTCCCTCTTTGTGTGTCACCGGGCAGCGAAGTGGTTAATGAAGGGGAAGGGGGGGGGGGGTGCGGGATCCGACCCCGGGGGCCGGCCCGAAGGGGCGGGCGGGGGGGGGGGGGGCTTATAAAGGTGTTTGCGGGCGGCCCCCGGGGAGGGGAGCGGGGCCGCAGGAGCGGGGCCAGGCAATGCGGGAGCTGCGCTCGTCCTCCTTCTGGAGGGCCGTCCTGGCCGAGTTCCTGGGCAGCCTCCTCTACACCCTGCTGGGGCTGGGGGCGTCCCTGCGCTGGGTGCCGGGCCCCCCCAATGTCCTGGGGGCTGCCCTGGCCTTCGGGCTGGCTCAAGCCACCCTAGTGCAGGCTCTGGGGCCGGTGAGCGGCGGCCACGTCAACCCCGCCGTTACCTTGGCTTTCCTCATGGCCTCGCAGCTCTCGGTGGCCCGGGCCGTGGGCTACCTCGTGGCACAGGTCCTGGGTGCGCTGGCCGGGGCCGGGGTGCTCTATGGGCTCACACCGGCCCCGGTCCGCGGCACCCTCGGGCTCAGCGCGGTGAGCGGGGCTCCCACAGGGGGTTTTAGGGGTGCCACGGGGATGTCATGGGGGGATTGAGGGGGGTAAAGGGGGGGGGTAGGGGGTCTGGGAGGTGCTTGGGGCTTTGGGGCTGTGGAAGGGGGGTTTAATGGGAATTGAGGTGTTCAGTGGGGGTTTAGGGGCTCTGGGAGGTGCTTGGGGCTTTGGGGTTGTGGAGGGGGGGGTTAATGGGAATTGAGGTGCTCAGTGGGGGTTACTGCAGGGTTTAGGGGCTCTGGGGTTGGGAGTGGTTGTAATGGGGGATTGAGATGCTTGGGGAGGCTGAATGGTGCTAATGGGGGGGTTAGGAGGTTTGGAGGTGTTTGGAGCTTTGGGAGGGGGTGCTGTATGGGGGGATTGAGATGCTGAACGGAGCTAATGGGGGTTAATGGGAGGTTTGGGGGGGTTCCGCGAAGTGCTTGGTGTGAGCAGGGCTTCGGGGTGCAGCGGGGCAAGGCGGTGCTGGGCTCTGCGGGGTGGTGCTGAGCCCCGTGCCCCCCGTTCCAGCTGCACCCGGGCGTGGGGCCGGGGCAGGGCACGGTGGTGGAGCTGCTCCTCACGGCGCAGTTCGTGCTCTGCGTCCTCGCCAGCTTCGACAACCGCCACGACGGGCGCCCGGGCTCGGCCGCGCTGCCCATCGGCTTCTCCCTCGCCCTCGGCCACCTCTTCGGGGTAAGAGCGGCCGCGGGGGGTCCCCGCCTCGGGGGGCAGCGGGGCCGGGTCCCGCACCCACCGCCGCGTCCCCCTCCCATCAGATGTATTACACGGGCGCCAGCATGAACCCGGCGCGCTCCTTTGCGCCCGCCGTCGTCACCCGCAACTTCACCAACCACTGGGTAAGCGCTGCGGGGGGGACCCCGCATCCTTCCAGCATCCCTCCCTCATCCCTCCCGCATCCCTCCCGCATCCCTCCCTCATCCCTCCCGCATCCCTCCCTCATCCCTCTCGCATCCGTCCCGCATCCTTCAGGCATCCCTCCCGCATCCCTCCCTCATCCCTCCCACATCCCTCTCGCATCCGTCCTGCATCCCTCCCGCATCCTTCCCGCATCCCTCCCGCATCCGTCCTGCATCCCTCTCGCATCCCTCCCGCATCCTTCCCGCATCCCTCCTGCATCCTTCCCGCATCCTTCCCTCATCCCTCCCTCATCCCTCCCGCATCGCTCCCTCATTTCTCCCGCATCCTTCCCACATCCTTCCCGCATCCCTCCCTCATCCCTCCCGCATCCTTCCCGCATCCGTCCTCCGCGACCCCCCCCGGTACCATTGCGCTGGGTAACGGGGTCCCCGGTGCCGGTGCCCACCCCGTGCCCCCCCACCCCGCACCTCCCGCAGGTGTTTTGGGCGGGCCCGGTGCTGGGCGCTGCGCTGGGCTCGGTGCTCTACGAGTTCGCGCTGTGCCCGCGGCCGCGCAGCCTGGCCGAGCGCTTGGCCGCCTTCAAGGGAGCTCCGCCCGTTACCGAGCCGCCTCCTTCGCCGCCGGCGGAGCCGCTGGAGCTGAAGACTCAGGGCTTGTAGGTCCCGGCCGCCCCGCCGCTTGGCTGCGTTGTGGTGCGTGTGTGTGCGGCGGGCGGCGGCGGGGCCCGGCCCCCGCGAACCGCCGCGGCGGGAGCGCTGTGTTCGGTGCATTAAACGGCAGCGTTTATTTTGGTAACCGGCAGTGCCCGGCGCCGGGGATGGAGACAGCGGGGATGGAGGGGAGCGGGGATGGAGGGGAGCGGGGATGGAGGGGAGAGGGGATGGAGGGGAACGGGGATGGAGACAGCGGGGATGGAGGGGAACGGGGATGGAGGGGAACGGGGATGGAGGGGAACGGGGATGGAGGGGAACGGGGATGGAGGGGAACGGGGATGGAGCGGAGCGGGGATGGAGGGGAGCGGGGATGGAGGGAGAGGGGATGGAGGGGAACGGGGGGAGAGGGGATGGAGGGGAACGGGGATGGAGGGGAGCGGGGATGGAGGGGAGCGGGGATGGAGGGGAGCGGGGATGGAGGGGAGCGGGGATGGAGGGGAGCGGGGGGAGACAGCGGGGATGGGGAGCGGGGATGGAGGGAACGGGGATGGAGGGGAGGGGAGCGGGGATGGAGGGGAACGGGGATGGAGGGGAACGGGGATGGAGGGGAACGGGGATGGAGGGGAACGGGGATGGAGGGGAACGGGGATGGAGGGGAGCGGGGATGGAGGGGAGCGGGGATGGAGAGGAGAGGGGATGGAGGGGACGGGGGGAGACAGCGGGGATGGAGGGGAGCGGGGATGGAGGGGAGCGGGGATGGAGGGGAACGGGGATGGAGGGGAGCGGGGATGGAGGGGAGCGGGGATGGGGGAATTGGGGACAGGGGAGTAACCCGGGATGAGGAGACCGGAAATGGGGGACACCAGGGATGGAGACAGCGGGGACGGGAGGACCGCGGATGGAGGGGACCGGGGAGGGGGGAACTGGAGATGGGGAGAACCGGGGATGCTGGGGACCAGCCCGAGCCCGCGTCGCCCCGGCAACCGCGCGGGGGCTGCCGGGAGGGGAGGCGCGGTCCTTTCCCGCGCCCGCGGTGGAGGTCCCCGCCCTGCGTCGCACTTAAAGGGGCAATGCCGCGCATGGGAGCTCCTCCCGTTTTGGGGGGCACCGCATCACTGTGGGAGCGGGGGAAAGGGTGGAATCGTTGCGAGGGGGGGGGGGCTGCGGGGCAGCGGTTACGCGGGAGGCCGGAGGTGGGGAGGGGGGTGTGGGCCCCACCGAGTGCCCAGGGCGGGAGTTGCCGCTTTAAGCCCGTGAGCGGGGCGGGGCCTCCCAGCGCGGGAACTGGGGCTGTTGCGCGGGGCCGCGGGAACGGGCCGGGATTGGCGGGAGCTGCGGTAGCGGCGGCCCCGGCCCCGGTTTTGGAGGTGTTTCGGGGGGGGGGGCGGAACCGGGGGGCGCTGAGCCCCGGGTCGCACAAGGTCCCCGTTACCGGCGCCGGTGCGCGGACGGGTGCGGGATGAACTGCGAGCTCCTGGCTACCTGCAGCGCTCTGGGCTACCTGGAAGGGGCCGTTTACCACCGGGAGCCCGACTGCCTGGGTACGGGGGTGCTCGGGGCGGCGGCGGGGCTCGGCGCGGCGCTGCGGGGCTCACGGCTCCGTGTGTCCCCGTTTAGAAAGCGTTAAGGACCTGATCCGGTACCTGCGCCACGAGGACGAGACCCGGGATGTGCGGCAGCAGCTCGGGGCGGCGCAGATCCTGCAGAACGATCTCCTGCCCATCCTGGTGCAGTACCCGCAGGACAAGGTCCTGTTCGATGCCCTGGTCAGGTATAGGGGGTGCGGTTGTTGGGGGGGGGGTTCGGGTGGTGCCGTAGGGCTCCCCCCATGGAGCAGCGTTGCCCCCTCGCAGGCTGATGGTGAACCTGACGCAGCCGGCGCTGCTCTGCTTCGGCAAAGTCCCTGCGGATGCCGGCTCCCGGCACCACTTCCTGCAGGTCGGGACTTACCTCCAGGCCTATAAAGAGGTGAGTCTGAACCCCCCCATTGGGCTGGGGGCTCTGTTTGTGCCCCCCTCGCTCACACAGGGCTCTCTGCAGGCGTTTGCCAGTGAGAAGGTGTTTGGGGTGCTCAGTGAGAAGCTCTATGACCTCCTGCAGCTCGTGAGTGCCATGGCCCTGCATGGGCTCCATCCCTGTGGGTGCTGCGGGAACCCCTCTTCACTCCATCCCTGTGGGTGCTGCGGGGACCCCTCCCGGCTTCATCCCTGTGGGTGCTGTGGGGACCCTTCCTGGCTCCATTCCTGTGGGTGCTATGGGGACCCCTCCTGGCTCCATCCCCGTGGGTGCTGCGGGGACCCTTCCCACCTCCATCCCTGTGGGTGCTATGGGAACCTCTCACAGCCCCATCCCCGTGGGTGCTGCGGGGACCCCTCCCGGCTCCATCCCTGTGGGTGCTGCGGGGACCCCTCCCGGCTCCATCCCTGTGGGTGCTGTGGGGACCCCTCCCGGCTCCATCCCTGTGGGTGCTGCGGGGACCCCTCCCAGCTCCATCCCTGTGGGTGCTGCGGGGACCCCTCCCGGCTCCATCCCTGTGGGTGCTACGGGGACCCCTCCCGGCTCCATCCCTGTGGGTGCTGCGGGGACCCCTCCCGGCTCCATCCCTGTGGGTGCTACGGGGACCCCTCCCGGCTCCATCCCTGTGGGTGCTGCGGGGACCCCTCCCGGCTCCATCCCTGTGGGTGCTGCGGGGACCCCTCCTGGCTCCATCCCTGTGGGTGCTATGGGAACCTCTCCTGGCCCCATCCCCGCGGGTGCTGCGGGGACCCTTCACGGCCCCATCCCCGCAGGACTGGGAGCAGCGGCAGGAGGAGGACACGCTGCTCATCGAGAGGATCCTGCTCCTGGTGCGCAATGTCCTGCACGTCCCCCTGGACCCCACCGAGGAGCAGGTACCCGACGGGACCCTTCACCGCGCGCGGCAGCTCTGGGGCCATCGTGGGGGTGCTGAGCCCCCCTTTTCCGTCTCCCCCAGCGCGTGGACGGCGACGCCACCGTGCACGACCGGGTGCTGTGGGCGCTGCACATCAGCGGCATGGACGATCTGCTCAAGTTCCTGGCCAGCGCCCAGACGGAGCAGCAATGGGCGCTGCACGTCCTGGAGATCATCTCCCTCATGTTCCGTGACCAGGCGAGTGGGGCGGGGGCCGGTGGGGCAGGGACCCCCATGGACCGCCCCCTCCATCCCATAGCGCTGATGATGCTGCCCGCAGAGCCCGGAGGACCTGGCGGTGCTGGGGCAGGGCCAGGCGGGTGCTGAGCACAGGGAGGACACGCGGGAGCTGCAGAGCCTGCGGCAGCGGGAGCTGGCGGAGAAGAGGAGCCGGGCGCTGCAGCGCCCGTACAGGTGAGGGCAGGGGGGGGCTGGCAGCACCGGGATCCCCATGGTGGGGTCCGCACCGCTCACCCCACATCCCGTCCCCCCACTTTGCTCCAGGCACTCCCGGTTCGGCGGCTCCTACGTCCTGCAGGGCCTGAAGGCGATCGGGGACCGGGACGTGGTGTTCCATAAGGGGCTGCACCACGTGAGCACGGGGATGGGGATGCGGTGGTGGTGGTGGTGGTGGTGATGCCAGCCGGGTCCGAGCGCGGTGCCGTGCCCGCAGCTGAAGAGCTACAGCCACGACCTGGGCAAGGAGCCGCGGCGCGTGCCCCGGCGGCGCCAGGCAGCCCCCGAGGCCGAGGCTCCGCACCGCTCCGCGCGCAACGTCCGCCTCTTCCTGCGCCGCTTCTGCCAGGACTTCCTGGAGGGCTGCTACAACCGCCTCATGCTGCTGGTGAAGGTGAGGGGGCGGCCGTGGGGCTGGGACCCACGGGGCTGTGTGTCCGTATCCCCCCCCCGCCCCGCTGAGCCCCACGGGCTGCGCCCCACAGGACCACTTGGTGCGGGAGAAGGCTCAGCAGCACGATGAGACCTATTACCTGTGGGCTTGCGCCTTCTTCATGGCCTTCAACCGGCACCGCGGCTTCCGCCCGGAGCTGGTGTCCGAGACCGTGGGCGTCCGCGCCTTCCACTTCATCGAGCAGAACCTCACCACCTACTACGAGATGGCGCTGATGGACAAGAAGGAGGCCGTGACCTGGGCACGCAGGTGGGGGCTTGGGGTTTGCCCCGTCGCCGGTTGGATGGGGCTCGGAGCCTCCTGCTCCGATGGATGGGGTCCCCGTTGGGACTGGATGAGCTTTGGGGTCCTGCCCACCGCCTTCCTCCTCAGGATGCACTTGGCTCTCAAGGCGTACCAGGAGCTGCTGCGCACGGTGCAGGAGATGGACCGGTCCCCGGAGCCGGCGGTGCGGGACAGCAGCCAGGTCATCAAGAGTGAGTCCCATTGTCCCGTTGCATCCGTCCCATGTTGGGGATTCCCATTCCACCTCCTTCCTCCTCCTCCTCCCCAGGCAACATCTTCTACCTGATGGAATACCGGGAGCTCTTCCTCACGCTCTTCCGCAAGTTTGACGAGACCAAGCAGCCGCGCAGCTTCCTGCGGGACCTGGTGGAGACGGCGCATCTCTTCCTGCGCATGCTGGAGCGCTTCTGCCGCGGCCGCGCCAGCCTCGTGGTGCAGGTTGGGATGGGGAGCGCCCCACCGGGGGGGCCCTATGGGGCTCACAGCTCCTCCTCACCCCGTCCTTGGTCCCCTATAGAGCAAGCGTGTGCGGAGGAAGAAGCAGCCCCGCGCGCCCGCAGCCGCAGCCCCGCAGCCGCCCAGCGCCGAGGAGCTGCAGGAGCTGTGGGCAGGGCTGGCCCCACAGCTTCAGGCCTGTCTGCAGGTAGGGGATGGCTCCAGCCCCATAGCAGGGAAATTGGGGGGGGGGGGGTTGCTGTGGGGCACAAGGTGACAGTGTCCTGCATAGGGCGAGGTGCCCCTCCCCGAGGACGTGGTGCCCTTCGATGCTGCGTCGGAGACGCCGGTGGAGGAGCAACGCGCCGAGGCCCTGCTGCGGATCCAGGGGTGCCTGCGGGATGCTCGGGTCCCCCAGGCCCTGCAGCTGCTCCGCTCTGCCCGGTACCGGCACCATCCCCATCCCGCACCCGGTGCATGGACACGGTGACAGCCGTGACGGGCATTCCTGGTGCATGGACACGGTGATAGCCATGATGGGCATTCCCGGTGCATGGATATGGTGATAGCCATGATGGGCATTCCCAGTGCATGGATATGGTGATAACCGTGACGGGCATTCCCGGTGCATGGACACGGTGACAGCCGTGATGGGCATTCCCAGTGCATGGATATGGTGATAGCCGTGACGGGCATTCCCGGTGCATGGATATGGTGATAGCCGTGACGGGCATTCCCGGTGCATGGATATGGTGATAACCGTGACGGGCATTCCCGGTGCATGGACACGGTGATAGCCGTGACGGGCATTCCCGGTGCATGGACACGGTGACAGCCGTGACGGGCATTCCCGGTGCATGGATATGGTGATAGCCGTGATGGGCATTCCCGGTGCATGGAAACGGTGATAGCCATGATGGGCATTCCCGGTGCATGGACACGGTGATAGCCGTGATGGGCATTCCCGGTGCATGGACACGGTGACAGCCGTGACGGGCATTCCCGGTGCATGGACACGGTGACAGCCGTGACGGGCATTCCTGGTGCATGGATATGGTGATAGCCGTGATGGGCATTCCCGGTGCATGGATATGGTGATAGCCGTGATGGGCATTCCCGGTGCATGGACACGGTGATAGCCATGATGGGCATTCCCGGTGCATGGATATGGTGATAGCCATGATGGGCATTCCCGGTGCATGGATATGGTGATAGCCATGATGGGCATTCCCAGTGCATGGACATGGTGATAGCCGTGATGGGCATTCCCGGTGCATGGATATGGTGATAGCCGTGATGGGCATTCCCGGTGCATGGATATGGTGATAGCCATGATGGGCATTCCCGGTGCATGGATATGGTGATAGCCATGATGGGCATTCCCGGTGCATGGATATGGTGATAGCCATGATGGGCATTCCCGGTGCATGGACACGGTGACAGCCATGACGGGCATTCCCGGTGCATGGATATGGTGATAACCGTGACGGGCATTCCCGGTGCATGGACACGGTGACAGCCGTGATGGGCATTCCCGGTGCATGGATACGGTGATAGCCGTGACGGGCATTCCCGGTGCATGGATATGGTGATAGCCATGACGGGCATTCCCGGTGCATGGACATGGTGATAGCCATGATGGGCATTCCCGGTGCATGGATATGGTGATAACCGTGATGGGCATTCCCGGTGCATGGACACGGTGCCAGCCTCTCCCTATCCCTCCATAGGGATGTGTGGCCCGAAGGGGATGTGTTCGGACCCCCCAGTGCGGGCCCCCCCGAGGAGACCCAGCTGCTCCAGGACATCCTCTTTGCTCCTCTGCCCCGTGAGTCCACGGCCCCGGCAATGGGGGGGGCTCTGGTTTGGGGCTGCTCCAGCCCCTCAGCACTGTCCCATTGCGCACCAACCGGACTGAGGAGCCGCGCGCCTGCTGCACAACGCCTGGCCCTGAAGCGGTGAGAGGGGGCTCTGGGGCTGAGGGGGGGTGATTCCCCATTGACCGCATCGGCCCCACTCACCGGCGCTATGGGGATAGGTTCGCCTGTGCCCCCGTGGTGCGGGCGCTGGTGCTGCTGCTGCGGGGGTACCCCCGCAACAGCGCCCGCACCAACCACTGCGCCGCGCGCCTGCTGCACCGCCTGGCCCGCGACCTGCGCATGGAGCCGCTGCTCTTCCAGCTCTCCCTCTTCGCCCTCTTCAACCGGCTCCTGCACGACCCCGCCGCCGGCGCGCACCAGGTCCGATGGGTCCCGCTTCCGTGGGTCCCGCTTCCGTGGGTCCCGCTTCCGTGGGTCCCGCTTCTGCGCCCCCGCCTTCCCAGGGGAGGATCCGGGTCCCCAGTGTCCCCCAGCTCCGCTGTCGCCCGCAGGAGCTCGTGGCCTTGGCCAAGTTCATCCTGGGCAAGTTCTTCGCGCTGGCGGCCACCAACAAGAAGGCGTTCGTGGAGCTGCTCTTCTGGAAGAGCCCTGCGGCCGCCCGCGAGATGACCGAGGGCTACGGCTCCCTGCGGGAGGGAGAGGGGTGAGCGGGGCTGGCGATGGGGCTGCTGCCCTCCCTCCCCTCCCTTTATGCCTCCTATCGCATGCTGTCGTCTCCTATCGCGTCCTGTTGTACCCTACTGCATCCTCTTGCGTCCTATCACATCCTGTTGTCTCTTGTTGCATTCTATCGCATTCTGTCACATCCTATTGCATTCTATCACTCCCTATCACACCCTATCGCATCCTATCACATTCTATCGCATCCTATCACATTCTATCGCACCCTATCGCACCCTATCGCACCCTATCGCACCCTATCGCACCCTATCGCATCCTATCGCACCCTATCACATTCTATCGCATTCTATCGCATCTTATCACACCCTATCGCACCCTATCGCACCCTATCGCACCCTATCGCACCCTATCGCACCCTATATCGCTCCCGTTACCTCCCTCACCTCTTCTCTGTCTCTGCCCAGGGCTGGCAGGAGCCGGGCCCCCCCCTGGACCCCGCAGGAGGAGCAGGAGCTGCGGGAGCTCTATTGGAAGTACAGGGAGGTGGAAGGTACCGGGGCTGGGGTTGGGGGGCGCCGGGGGACCCGCGCTGGGGGGGGGGGTTCCGGGGGCTCCATCCCTGTCCCCTGTGGTCCCGCAGGCTTGGACGTGGCCGGAGCCATCCTGGCGCAGCTCCCGGCGCCCGGGCGCACCCGCAGGCACCTGGTGAAGCACTTGGTGCGCTTGGGGCTCATCGGCAGCGCCCGCGACCTCCCGCGGCAGAGGTGGGTCCGGGACCCCCACAACGGGGGCACAACCGGGGCGGCCGCTGAGCCCCGGGGCTGGGGCTGACCCCATGTGTGCCCCCCCCCAAGGAAGGGCACCCACATCGTGCTGTGGACGCAGGAGCAGGAGGAGGAGCTGGCGCGGCTCTTTGAGGAGTTCCGGGGCTCGGATGGTGAGGGGGCAGCCCCCGTTGTCCCTCATTGTTTCCCCGTTATCCTTCTCGTTCCCTGTTATTCCCCCCCGTTATTCCTCCCTTATTCCCCTGTTATTTCCCCCATTATTCCGCCCGTTATCCCCCATTATTTCCCTCTGTTATCCCCCTCTTATTCCCCCCCATGATCCCCCATTTTCCCCTTCGTTATCCCCCATTTTCTCTTCCTTTATCCCCGATTATTTCTTGGTTATTTCCCATAATTTTCCCATTATTTCCCCCATTATAACCCATGTTATTCCCCATTATTTCTCCCGTTATCCCTCTGTTGTCCCCCATTATTTCCCTCTGTTATCCCCCTCTTGCCCCCCATTTTTCCCTTCGTTATCCCCCATTTTCTCTTCCTTTATCCCCAGTTATTTCTTGGTTATTCCCCATAATTTTCCCATTATTTCCCCCATTATAACCCATGTTATCCCCCATTATTTCTCCCGTTATCCCTCTGTTATCCCCCTCTGTTATCCCCCTCTGTTATCCCCCTCTGTTATCCCCCTCTGTTATCCCCCTCTTATTGCCCCCCATGATCCCCCATTTTTCCCTTCGTTATCCCCCATTTTCTCTTCCTTTATCCCCGATTATTTCTTGGTTATTCCCCATAATTTTCCCATTATTTCCCCCATTATAACCCATGTTATCCCCCATTATTTCTCCCATTATCCCTCTGTTATCCCCCATTATTTCCCTCTGTTATCCCCCTCTTATTGCCCCCCATTTTCCCCTTCGTTATCCCCCATTTTCTCTTCCTTTATTCCCAATTATTTCTTGGTTATTCCCCATAATTTTCCCATTTTTCCCCATTATAACCCATGTTATCCCCCATTATTTCTCCCGTTATCCCCCCCCATTATTTCCCCGTTACCCCTCATTGTCCCCCTCCTGTTTCCCCCCCATGCCCTCATCATTGCCCCCCCGCAGACGTGCTGGGCCGCATCCTGCAGCACCTCACGGCGCGGCGCTCGCGGGCGCGGGTCGTGGACAAGCTGCTGGCGCTGGGGCTGGTGGCGACGCGCGCCGAGCTCTACAAGAGGCGCCGGAGGAAGGGCCAGGGCCCTGCACCGGGACCGGTACCATGGGGGGGGTGGTGCTGGAGCCGGGGGGGGGGGGCCCAGTGGGTGCTGCCCCATCACAGGCACCCAAACCCCCCCCCCCGGTCCCCATAGGGAGCCCCGGCAGCGCTGGCCCAGGACAGCTCCGAGGATGGGGACAGCGAGGAGGAGGATGAAGAAGATGAAGACCCCATGGAGGGGGCTGAGGAAGGGGCTGGGCAGGGCCTGGCGCAGCGGCTGCAGCAGGAAGGTGGGTTCGGGGCTCAGAACCCCCCCGGTCGGGCTCTGCTTGGCTGCGGGGCCGCATCCTGCATCACCCATCGCTGTCCCGCAGGCCTGGCCGGGCCCCTGCGCTGGCTCCAGAGCTGCCTGCGGAGGACGGCGGGGGACCGGGAGGAGGATGGTGAGTGGGGGGGACGGGACGGGATGGGACCGGCAGCGGCTGGGGGGGCCCGGGGCTCGCTCCGGTGCTCACCGGGCTCCCGGGGCTCAGGCACCTCCCACCCGGTGCCGCTGGTGCCGCTCTCGGAGGAGAACGAGGACGCGATGGAGAACCGGCGCTTCCAGGCCCTGCTGCGGCGGCTGGGGCTGCGGCCCCCCGAGAGCGAGCAGGTGAGGGACCGGGCCCCACACTGGTCCCCATCCCGGTCCCCATCCTTGTCTCCATCCTTGTCTCCATCCCCATCCCAGTCCCACTTCCCCTTCCCATCCTGCTTCCCATTCCTGTCCCTGTCTCCATCCTTGTCTCCATCCCCATCCCAATCCCACTTCCCCTTCCCATCCTGCTTCCCATCCCTGTCCCTGTTCCCTTCCCTGTCTCCATCCTTGTCTCCGTCCCTATCCCAGTCCCACTTCCCCTTCCCATCCTGCTTCCCATTCCTGTCCCTGTTCCCTTCCCTGTCACCATCCTTGTCTCCATCCCCATCCCAGTCCCACTTCCCCTTCCCATCCTGCTTCCCATCCCTGTCCCTGTTCCCTTCCCTGTCTCCATCCTTGTCTCCATCCCCATCCCAGTCCCACTTCCCCTTCCCATCCTGCTTCCCATCCCTGTCCCTGTTCCCTTCCCTGTCTCCATCCTTGTCTCTGTCCCCATCCCAGTCCCACTTTCCCTTCCCATCCCTGTCCCTATGCTTGTTCCCAATCCTCTCCCTTCCTTGTCTCCATCCTCATCCCAGTCCTGCTTTCCATTCTCATCCCAGGTCCCATCCCTGTCCCTGGTCCCATCCACGTTCCCATTCCCATCCCCATCTCTGTCCCCTCCTTGTCTCCATCCCCATCCCGGTTCCCATCCCCTGCTCGCGTCCTCTCCCTGCACCCTCTCCCCTCTCCACCCAGGAAACCTTCTGGCGCATCCCGGCTGCGCTCACCCCACGGCTGCTCCGCCGGGCGGCCGCCTCCATCACCCACCACGGCCCCGACCCCTCGGGGTCCCCCCGGGAGCTGCCGGAGCCACCCCAGTGCCCGCAGGACCCTGACCCAGGTAAGGCCTTGGAGCGCTTGGAGGCGATGCTCTGCAAGCCCTTCCCCACCCCATTGATTCCATGGCTCTTGTGCCCAGCAGCATCACCGCAGCCGCCGGATTCGGAGAGGTGAGAACTGGTCCCATCCCCACACCGGGGGGCCCTGAGCCGGTCCCTGAGCCCTGTCCCCACCACCGCAGTGAGGAGCCTGACCCCAGCCCCGTGCAGCCCCACACCAAGAGGCAACGGGACCTCGACAGCGAGGACGAGGCCTCCGGCAGCTCCGGTGGGTCCAGCCTGGCGCTGGGAGACAGTGGGGGGGGGTCATGGGTGCCCCTGTCCCCGCACCCCTGGATTGGGTGCTCAGCCCCTTCCCTGCTCCATTCAGCCCCAGCGCTGCCCCCCGAGGATGAGGAGCTGCAGCCCCTGGGGAGGAGGAAGCGCATCCGGTGCGTGGAAGAGGAGGAAGAGGAGGAAGACTGAGGCTCCCCATGGGCTGTTTCACACAGGTTTTAAGGGTGCTGTGGAAGCACCTTTCCCCCCTTGTCCTGGTCTCTCCATTTCCTTGTTTTATCCCCAGATCCCTGTTTCCCCATGGATTTTGTTACTTCCTGGGGTGTTTTTTCCCCGACCTCATTAAACTCTGTAACTGTTCAATAAATCAATGCCGTTCTTGGCCTCCTCTGCTCTGTGGGGCTGGGGCTGGGGTCCTGCCCGTGCACACTGCCCTGTCCCTGCCCCAGGGCCAAGCCCCACGTGTCGCAACAGCCCCTGATAACAGCAGCTATAAAGGGGCCGCAGGGGCTGCGCCCGCAGCCACAGCACTGGGACGGGGCAGGGACCACCGGTGAGTGGGTGAGCCGGGGATGGGGGGTCCTGGGGGGCCGTGGTTATCCCATGGGGGGGGCCGTGGTTATCCCATGGGGGGGGCTGTGGTTATACCCTAGGGGCCATGGTTATGCCATGGGGGGCTGTGGTTATCCCATAGGGGGCTGTGGTTATACCATGGGGGGCTGTGGTTATCCCATAGGGGGCTGTGGTTATACCCTAGGGGCTGTGGTTATCCCATGGGGGGCCCGTGGTTATACCCTAGGGGCTGTGGTTATGCCATGGGGGGCCGTGGTTATGCCATGGGGGGCTGTGGTTATACCCTAGGGGCCATGGTTATCCCATGGGGGGCTGTGGTTATACCCTAGGGGCCGTGGTTATGCCATGGGGGGCAGCTGTGGTTATACCATAGGGGGCCTTGGTTATACCCTAGGGGCTGTGGTTATCCCATGGGGGGGGCCGTGGTTATACCCTAGGGGCCATGGTTATGCCATGGGGGTTAACAGCTCTCTGCCCCTTCCATAGGCGATCCCGGAGCTGCGCCATGCCCGGGGCTCTGCTCTTCCTCCTCCTCCTCCTCCCGGGGTCCGTGCCCACGGCGCTGGGTGCCGGCCCCGGTGCCTCGGCGCTGCTGGCGGAGCTGGCGCAGCAGAAGCCGTCCGAGCCCGTGCGGGACCGCTCGTTCCCGTGCGGGTCCCTGCTCCCCGCAGCCCTGCCCGGCTTCCCCTCGCTCCCGGCGCTGCCGAGGGCTCTGGTCCGCGCCGCCATGGCCCTGGCGCTCAGCGCCGCCGCCTGCAGCCCGGAGGCTGAAGCCGAGGTGCGGGGCTTGATGCGGGAGCTGGGTCCGGCCGCGGCCGCTGCGCTGCTGCGGGGTCTGGCGCGGCTGCGGCGGGACCCGGCTCCCGAGGCCGTGGCCCAGGTCCTGCTCCGCCTGGCTCAGCCCTGCGCGCCCGGTGCCGCCGCATCCCGGAGCATCGCGGGGCCGCGCTGCAGCGGGGCCGTGCGGAGGCAGCGCGGGGCTGACGATGCCTGCGCCCCGCCGGGGGAGCGGGAGGCGCACGGGGTGCTGGAGTGGGTGCCGGGCGTCAGCGCCTTCTACAACCTGGGCACCAGCGTTTACTTCGCCTTCCAGGGCTGCGAGGCCCTGGCGTCCAGACGGGCGCTGCAGGCGGCCGAGGACCTGGGCTACGCCAGCCTGGCCGCGATCGCCGCTGCCGCCGGCGGCCCCGTGGCGCTGGGGGTGCAGATGGGGCTGCAGCCGGGGCTCAAGGCCGGCGTGCGGGCGCTCATCGCCTACTTCACCTCGGAGGGGGAGCCCCCGACGGTGCCCAGCGCCCACAGCGGCCCCGTGCTCGTGGTGTGAATAAAGCCCCCGGGGCTGGCTCCGTGTCCCTTGGCTGCGCTCGGATCGATGTGGGGCCGCCCTGCCCCGGGACGCGGGGACCTTGGCCCCTCGGGGCGGCCTTGTCAGAGCCACGTGGTGGCAGCCGGCCTGGCCCCGTCACTGTCCCCAGGGCTCCCCCTCCGTGTCCCTGTCGCAATTCCTTGGCCTCCTGCTTCTTTGTCCCCCATCCCTATCCCCATGTCCTTATCCCTATGTCCCCCATCCCTATCCCCATGTCCTTATCCCTATGTCCCCCATCCCTATCCCCAAGTCCTTATCCCTCTGTCCCCCATCCCTATCCCCATGTCCTTCTCCCTATGTCCCCCATCCCTATCCCCATGTCCCTATGTCCACATGTCCTTATCCCTATGTCCTTATCCCTATGTCCCCCATCCCTATCCCCATATCCTTGTCCCCATGTCCTTATCCCTATGTCCCCCATCCCTATTCCCATACCCCTGTCCTCATGTCCCTATCCCTATGTCCCCCATCCCTATTCCCATATCCCTGTCCCTATGTCCTTATCCCTATGTCCCCCTTCCTGTCCCAGTCCCCCCATTCCATGTCCCCCTATTCCATGTCCCTGCCTGCATGTCCTTATCCCTGTGTCCCCCATCCTTATCCCCATATCCTTGTCCCTATGTCCCCCATCCCTGTCCCAGTACCCTATTCCATATCCCAGTCCCCATATCCCTGTCCCCATGTCCTTATCCCTATGTCCCCCATATCCCTATCCCCATGTCCTTATCCCTCTGTCCCCCATCCCTATATCCCTGTCCCCATGTCCTTACCCCTCTGTCCCCCATCCCTATCCCCATGTCCTTATCCCTCTGTCCCCCATCCCTATCCCCATGTCCTTATCCCTCTGTCCCCCATCCCTATCCCCATATCCCTATCCCCATGTCCTTATCCCTATGTCCCCCATCCCTATCCCCATGTCCTTATCCCTCTGTCCCCCATCCCTATCCCCATATCCCTGTCCCCAGTCCCCCCATTCCATGTCCCCCATTCCCCATATCCCTGTCCTGCATGTCCTTATCCCTGTGTCCCCCATCCTTAGCCCCATATCCTTGTCCCTATGTCCCCCATCCCTGTCCCAGTACCCTATTCCATATCCCAGTCCCCATATCCCTGTCCCCATGTCCTTATCCCTATCCCTGTCCCCCATCCCTATCCCCATATCCCTGTCCCCATGTCCTTATCCCTGTGTCCCTATCCCCATATCCCTGTCCCCATGTCCTTATCCCTGTGTCCCCCATCCCTATCCCCATGTCCTTATCCCTGTGTCCCCCATCCCTATCCCCATATCCCTGTCCCCATGTCCTTATCCCTGTGTCCCCCATCCCTATCCCCATATCCCTGTCCCCATGTCCTTATCCCTCTGTCCCCCATCCCTATCCCCATGTCCTTATCCCTGTGTCCCCCATCCCTATCCCCATATCCCTGTCCCCATGTCCTTATCCCTGTGTCCCCCATCCCTATCCCCATATCCCTGTCCCCATGTCCTTACCCCTCTGTCCCCCATCCCTATCCCCATATCCCTATCCCCATGTCCTTATCCCTGTGTCCCCCATCCCTGTCCCCATGTCCTTATCCCTGTGTTCCCCCATCCCTATCCCCTTGTCCTTACCCCTCTTTCCCCCATCCCTATCCCCATGTCCTTACCCCTCTGTCCCCCATCCCTATCCCCATGTCCTTA